ATATATATATATATATATATATATGTATATATATGAAAATTCAGGTGTATATATAACGAGTGGTAAGTGGCTGTGACCCCCTCTTATAAATAATGACTAAATACACATTTTCATTTTATTCTCTCTCTCTCTTTTTCTCTATTTATCCACCTCTTTGTAAAATTACATACAAATTTGACTAAAATTATGAACGTCTAAGTAAATTTTTTAATTAAAAAATTCATAATATATATATATATATATATATATAATTATCACATTAAATAAAGAAAAGAAAACATGTCATCCACGTGCCTCCGGCACATGGTCCAATAGGGTCGTGCTCCCCGCAACCCAAAAGGTGATCAGCGGTCCCTCGCCGGACTCAATAAAGTTAAATAATCCTTTGTGGGCCACACAGCCCGGCCATGGCCGCCCGACACATTCAACCCTCCTCATCACCGTCAATTCCCATCACTGAAACCATCAAATTTCTTATCTTTTTTAATAATTAATTTTTTAACATAAAATAAATAAAAAAAATGGAGGGCAAAATAGTCATAACACTATAAGCATTTTGAAGCTGGGTTGTGAACCGACGTGGCAACTCAGGGTGCATCACCGCCGACGAACTAAACACCCCACCCCCACGGCCCAACCCCATCCATTCAATTTTTACGATTGCCCTTTTGCACAACATAAAATATTTTTTTTTTTTTTTGCAAAAACAAATATAAAATTAGGAAGCAATACCCCTCTCCTCTCTCTCTGATCGAACAGAGAGCGACAGAGAGAGAGGGAATCATCCATCGATCGATCGATCTCTGTATATTGAGTCCGGCGCCCGGGGGGATCCGGCGCCCGCCGCCGGTGAGATGAACTCCGATACGGTGTCGACGGGGAAGTCGCTACTTGAGAAACCCCTGAACCTGCTCACTGAGGACGACATCGCGCAGATAACAAGAGGGAATGCCGTCGATTCCTCAAAGATAGAGGTTATTTTCAGTTTCTTCTGTTTCCGCTACTTCATGCGCTGTTTCCGTTTTGTTTTTATCACTTCACTTCGGAAATCGCGGGAGCGAGTCTTCTGGTGCTGGTCTGATCAATCTATCATGGTACAGGTATGCGCCGCCCCTCTTGGAACAAATCGCAGGCGATCCAGCAAGTGATATCTCTCAAGGCCCTTCTCGAGAACCGATCGGATCTAGACGATTCCTCCGCCGCCGTGAGGATCCGGCGGAAACCGCAAATCAGCCCTCCTTCTCCGTCACTCCTCACCCCGACTCACGTGAGCCCTAGCTCATAGATCAATTTGTTTTCCAGATGGGCAACTAAGTTACTCTGTTTCTTCTCTACAATCTTTTTGGTAGACTTCACTCCCTTCACCAACTGAGGACGCGAGCAGAAGCGGCGATTCGAGGAGTGTGCCGCCACGAGAGAAGGATCCCTCGCCGTACCGGAGAAAAGACCCTCTCCCCCCTCTTCTCACCGCCGGCGATGTACCATGCCTTTCTCCCTCCGCCGGAAAATCGCAGCTCCCGCAGCAGATTCACTTCCCACCTCCTAAGTATTCCTTTTCCCCATTAACATTCCCATTATTCTAAACTGCACTCCCTCATCTTCTCTCTAATGTGCATCTGTGATTCGCTCCCCCTTTTTACAGGGCGTTTTCCGGCGAACCTTTAGGGCAGCTTACGATATTCTACGGCGGTAAGGTGAACGTCTACGACGGCGTGCAGTCGGCGAAGGTAAATTCTCTCCGCCGGTTGAACCGGAGGAGCTAGACCGGTCCTTTTCATGCACCTGACCCGATCCGGTTTAACTTGCAGGCTCGTGAGATAATGCAGCTTGCGGCCAACCCTCATACGTACGACTCAACGATTATAGCTCCAATATCGTCCGGTCTGTCTTACCTAAATCGGTTTCCTCCGGCTTATACCGGACCGATTTGGGCCGGACCATCTGCCGGCGCTCCGGCAGGTATCCCGACCGCCGTTTGATTATTTGTCTGTATTTCCTGTAGTCATGTGCTATCCGTCCATTTGATCTCGATCGAACGGCTGTGAGCTTTCAGGAAAGTTGCAGCGAAACTTGAAAGGCAGCTCGGACGAGGGAATAGCATCGCGGGAACCTTTGCCGGGTAAGCGAATGCAAATTGGAATTTTTAAAATTTTTCTTGCAGCAACTGCTGGAAATTTTCTTTGACAGTTGACTGTTTGCTTTGTTATCCATTCACTACTAAATAGGAGAAATTAGTTTAATTAGTTAAAAATTAAATTGCATTTATTTTATTTATTGACGATTCATTATGACTTGTTTCTTACAAAATCTTGATTTTTTTTTTGTATATTACACTCATTTATGAACTATGAAAAATTAAGCAGTGGACTTCTCATTTTCGTAGATTAAGAATGAAGTTAGATTTAAACAAGTGTTATATATTTTTCTGTTAATAAAAAAATGGACATTTACATACATATCACTCAATTCCTATACATTTACATGTAAAGATTGCCATCCTTTTAACTAGAAAAAAAGTTGAAATGCGCCTCTTTTAAAGTGGTATGAATGTAAAAATTGAAGTTTTAGATTATAGATATGTAAATACATAAGAATTAAATGTCATGCATGTAAATCTTCCCATTAAGAAAATGCATTATGTCCTTCACTTGATGAGGCCCTCCTAATCTTGTGGTGAAGGGCAGGTTGACGGCGACCATCGATGCTTTGTTCGGAGTTGGGAATTATTTTCGTCCTTGACGTTAATGGGCCGCAGGATGTGATTGCCGCACATATAGGTCCCGATACGTGGGACCAGCATCGTTTTGTCCGGTGATTATATTGGTCCCCACTGGGACTCCACTTCCATTTCAGCCCTCTGGATTTCGAATCTCTACTCTCTCAAAGGAATTGTCTTGTCTGTCTCAAGTACTAATTATCCATAAACCTTCTCATCATCTAATGTTTAGAACCAGAGCAGGAATTAATCACACTTGTTAAATGAAAGATTGTATTTTTGAAGTCTTAAATTTGTGATTTATCACCTTCATTTTATTAAAAAGGGGTCATTATTATACCATAATGCTTGATTAAGAGAAATCCTTGGGTTAAAATTTAGCTAATTTGCCATTTACTTCTTGCTTTCAAACAAGTTTTGGTATGCTATTATCTATTGACTCATGTTATGCAAATTATGGAAGTAGCAAGATTTGTTTGCGGCAATGTAATTTATTTTTTGTGATAATATGTTATTAATGGTTGCATTGGGTGCCACTTGTCTAGTTCAAGCTCAGCGTAGATATTTATTTGGTGTCGAAGCGATGCTTTACTTTTAGATATTAATGGCACCATTTGTTTCAATCAGTTCATTACTCGCCGGACAACCCTAAACAGCTATGGGATATGTAAAGGGGAAGAGAAGAGGGTGGATCAGAAATTCCTGTTATGGTGTTAATGACATGGGAGTTATTGCAAATGGACCACCATGGACCCGGGGACATGTATTGTCATTCATAGTGGCCCATGTCTTTTTTAACAGTTGGTCCTTAATAATAATATTAATTTTCTGTCATAGCATTATCCGAAGTTAGCGGAATTTACATATTTTGCTTCTCTTCTTCAATGATGATGCCATTTTTAATATAATAATATAGAAGCAAAGATACGAGGTTCGTTGCTATAAGAGGACTCATAATGAAGTCAACGAAAGCCTATAAAACTATTGTAATTTTAGTTGATTTTTTCAACGAGCTAATGTTTAACCTGCTTGTCACAGAGTGTCCAACGAGTAGAAAAGCATCGCTTAAACGGTATCTGGAGAAAAGAAAAGATAGGTATAGATTGCTTTTATGAAATTGAATTATTGAACGTGCAGGAAATAGGATCACTGCCTTCATATTGGACATATTTTCACTAACAATATCTTATTGGAAGGTACAAGGGAAGAAGGATAATTGAAGGATCATCTTCAAGCTTGGAACTGTTGTACATGAGTCAAAAATTCAGTGGGCCTGGACAAAATGAACTTTCAAGCAGGAGCAACAGCAGCTCGTCCATGCAGCCCAGGCCACCTTGCCCACCATTCAGTTTGTGCCCCTCCATCGATACAAAGAAGCTTGGATTCTCTGCTGATCTCAATGAGGATGGTAATTAAAAAGAAATATATTTTTAAGTGAATTCTTTCATTTTTTAGAATAAAAAGTGCCATTTATATAAATATATAGCCTCTCTTTAGTGAAAGCTGACAAGTTTTTGACAGGACCTATGCACTGGTACGTTGTGCACCTGGTGTTTTTTGGCTGGCACCTTGATTGCACCTGTCAGACTTTCATCAATAAATTCTTTGCATCATTTCACCTTCGCCTTAGTCTGCAATTTTTTTTTATAATTCCGGTCCCCTACTTCCATACTGTATGCAAATATATCTATATATGTAAATTATAAAATATGCAAATACAATTTGTGATGTGAAGAGGATATTTTTAACTATTTGGTTGCAGATTTTGGCCCTTATATTTTTGTTTGGTATATTTTAATGCGTATGTCTACAATGTTATTCTTTATATATTCTTTATTTTTTTGTAAATTTTGAACTGAGCATTTGTGTTAAAATATTCTTAAACTTTTGCTGTGGTTGTTTGGCTTTGCTAAATGCATCATGTTAACCTCTGGTGGAATTCTGCTTTCTTCGATTGAAATGCAGCTTTTCAATACAGTTTTGTATAAATTAGATTTCCAACTTAAAAAAAAAAAAAAAACTTTGGTACCTAAAATATATTTATAGTTATAGAAAACAGATATCCTAGAACTAACGTTTTGAATAGAGCCCATCTTTTTTTATTTTTATTTTTTTCATTTTTTTGTGATTTTAATTAGTATGTGGCTTTTATCTCTTTCTGGAAACGCTACGGTTAAGTTGTAGTCTTTCCTGGCAACATCTACTTTTGTAGCTGAACTATAAAATAACGTTGTTTTTAATCATCTTTTGCCATTTCAGTATTGCCTTTGTAAAATGCCCGTTATTGGATGGGCTCTTCAAGCTGCAGTGAAAAGGGTTTTACCCTTTGTTAATCTGTTTAGAATGCCAATTGTTTTTGTAGATTACAGGGGACTGTTTATATAATATATATATATACATACAGCTATATACATACATCTATATAGATGTTAAATCTTTTTAGCCGTAGGGTCTCATATCTTTTATGGGATCATGCAACCTGGGAGGAACCCTATATGGAAGGTATGGAAGGGGAGAATGATCCAGTCTTCCAAGCCTGGATTCTTAGTTTTTCTCTAGAGTGGAGGTTGAGGATGAAATAAACAACCAGGGAGAGATAGAGAGAGTCTGATCCCTTTTCCAGATGGGAGGATGCAACTATTTATTGTCACAGAGATGGTCTTTAGCCTATGCTAGTGGCTTACACCAAGAAAGAGAGAGAAAATAATGCTAAATTGCAGGCTATGCAGTGTGAAGCATGTCCACAACGTGCCAACATGTAGTATGGACGTCAAGGGCCTCGTCAATGGTCCTGGATGTATGTCAGTCTTTCGAAGTTGATTCTTACTTTAGCTGTTTGTCAATCCCAAGGACCATCAACCGGATGAACTTAGTAGACTGGTTGCCTGCTGGAAATGTGACAGTTTATACATCAACAATTGGCAAAGAGGCTTGATAGGTAAGTCGATTTGGCAAGTCAGTTCGGCAAGTCACTTCTACGGGCCCCAATAGGAGAGAGTAAATGCATGGGTCACGCTTGTTGATGAGTGAACCATGTGATCCTTTGAGTAGATCCATGAGCCGTGGCGCGGATCAGATTACCTATTAATTTTTTAGTCGACTCAAGGGTAATTATTTTATATATATATAATCTTATTGATACTTAATAGGAATCCCTTCTGAAAGTGCGAAGGCTCACATAATGTTTTGTGGATTTTTTTATTTTTTATTTCGAATAATAAATTAGCTTTCAGCTTTCTTTGTTTAATAATAAACATCAGTTCGTAGCTATCTCACTGCAAATAAAGCCTTATGCTTGTTCTACTATAGATCATGTATTTTGCTCAATCACTTATGATATTCAACATAGATGGGTGAGTTATTTTGATATATTTTTTAATGGAGTTTCTGAAAATACGATCGACCTCAGTAATCTTAATATCGTTAATAATAATAAAAAGTTTAATTTTTTCGTCGCATTAGTAAAAAAGAAGATGATGAGACTTTAAAGAAAATCAATGGTGGAAAATCTGTAGGACCTGATGATATCCCAATTGAAGTGTGGAAATATTTAGGAGATTTGAGTGTTTCTTGGCTTACTAAGCTCTTTAATATTATTTAAAAAACTAAAAAGATGTCTGAGGAGTGAAGGAAGAGTATTTTGGTCCTCATTTTTAAGAATAAAGGTGATGCACAAGAGTGTACAAATTATAGAGGAATTAAGTTGATGTGCCATACCTTAAAATTATGGGAGAGTAATTGAAGATAAGTGAAAACATATTACAAAGATTTCTCATAATCAATTTGAATTTAAGTCGGATTGGTCTCTACTTGGAAGCTATACATTTATTGGAGGTTTGATAGAGAAGTTTAGAGATAATAAGGAGGGTCTACATTTGATTTTTATTAATTTAGAAAAAAACTTACGATAAGGTTCGAAGAGATATCTTTTGGAGAGTTCTTGAGAAGAAATGTGTTGATATGACTTATATTCAAGTTATTAAAGATATGCATACTAAAGCTGTTACTTGTGTTCGAACTGAAGGAGGATTGACCAAATATTTTCCTATTTCTGTTGGATTACATCAGGGATCGATTTTAAGCTCCTATCTTTTTGCTTTAGTTATGGATGATCTTACTGGACATTTACAGGAGGATGTACCCTGGTGTATGCTTTTGTATGCTTTTTGCTGATGATATCTTTCTCAAGATAAGATGAGAATAAGATGAGAGAAAAAGCCCAGGAAGCCCAGGAAAAACTTGAAGTATAGAGGTCTACATTGGAGTCTAAAGGCCTTCATTTGAGTAGAACTAAAATTGAATACATGGAATGTGATTTTAGTAATATTAGCTCTAGTGACAGGAGTGTAATTTTGGGTTATCAAATTATTAAAATGTGCGAACGATTTAGATATCTTGGGTCTGTTGTTCAAAGCGGTGGTGATATGATGGGGATGTTAATGGTAGAATTCAAGTTGGTTGTTGGATGTGGAGGAATGCTTCGAACCTTTTGTGTGATAGAAAAGTACCGCTTAGACTGAAAGGAAAATTTTATAAGATTATAAGATCTGAAAGGAAAATTTTATAAGATGGTGGTGAGACCTGAAATGCTCTATGGCGCTGAATGTTGGCCTTTAAAAGAGAAACATAATACTAAGCTAAGTGTTGCCGAGACTAGAATGATTAGGTGGATGAGTGGTTTTACACTTAGAGACAAAATGCGAAATAAATATATCCGTGATAGGGTTGGATATCCGTGATAGGGTTGGTGTAGCTCCAGTGACGGAAAAAAATAGAAAGAGTCGTCTTAGATGGTTTGATCACATTAAACGTCAACCTCCTAATGTGTTCGATTAGGAGAGTAGATGTTTTAGATTCGACTTAAGTTAAGAAAGACAGGGGTAGACCTAGGAAAACTTGGGCTTATTTTATAAAAAATGATCTTAATTTATTAGAAATAAATGAAAATATGATACTAAATAGCATGTAATAGAGAAAAAGGGCTTTGTTGTTGTTGTACTGATGATATTACTTTGCTTGAGCTCTTTTTTGCTTTCTATTAGAAAGTTGAATGTAAACTTATGCTCTCTCTCTTATTACTCAACGATTAACACCAAATTAATATATTTTTGCTTTTATAAGATTGACGACTGTGTTAAATCTTCTGATATTCAGCAAATAAACCTATCCACATTTGGTTTCTCCTCTGATTTTTCTTTCTGCACTCTATATGAAAACTTTGGGTTTTGTGAGATACTAAGCTGAACTTTTGCCTTGATATTTCTGCTCTTGTTCTCACAGGCGCTGGGGGCATTTGAGGGAGGGGTGGTGACGATTCCATACAACCACCACACCATTTTCTGCTTGATCGCTTCTTTTGTTCATGAGTGGCCACCATTGCCGTTCCCATTATCTCAACTTCGGTGGCAAGACGCGAACCCGAAGCGCACCATTGTCATTATTTTTGGCTCAAGTGATGCAGGTTCTTAAAATTGCTCAACCCAAAATGCTTGAGATTATATAGTTAAGCTGCTGAGTTTGCAGCTGAATGAATACTTCAGCCACAGATCCAAAGCGATAGATATGTGCCGGGAACTTCGCCCAAGAAATGCATTTTTCATGCCAAGTTGATCGGAGGAGTTTACTGGAGGTGGCCTTGAGATGCAAAGCTAAAGTTTTTCATGTTAATATGGGCTAAAATGTAAGTTCTGCTTTTTTTTTGTAGCATCAGGTAAGTAATTGTGCTGGAAAATGGCTAGTTAAATATGGCTGAAGTGAAGGATTAGTGTCTTAATATTCATAAGAGATTAGTTTGATGTTCTTTTTGTGTTGGTACAGTTAACAGTTCGTTGATAGTAGCATATAATATTTCCAACGGGTGGTATTGGATTTGAAAATATCAGGAAGCCCGTTATTTTTAAAGGAATGATAGTTTGGCAGTGGGGGGGTCCATTTGATTCGTTGGAAGTTGCCTTATTTCTATAAATGATCAAATTTATTAGATTATTGATTCCAAATGTTTGTAAATGATGTAAATTTATTAGATTCAACATATTATTAGAAATTTATATTGATTGCAAGTTTATAATTTCTGTTCGTTAGATATTGAAAAATGAAATTTGTAGATATGCATTTGTAGATATGCATTTTTTGTCTGATATTGAAAAATGAAATTTGTAGATATGCATTTTTTGTCTTTTTTTTTTTTTTTGCCCGAGTAGTATGTAATGAAGGGAGTTGAAGAAGCATGTGTTATTAAACCTTCTCTGCATGCAGCTTGGTGTTTTGGCTGAACTCCTTATGCATTATAGAAAAGAAAGTTACACAACAAACAAACAATCAAATACATTATGATTTATGTGAATAAAAAAAAAATGTGTTTGTTCACGTGAAGAGGTTATTCCACTATGAACAAGTTGGGAGGAAAGTAAAATTGGTCGAATAAGGGTTAGAACTTGGGAGATGCGCATCAAATTCACTGTAATCTCTTGTATATGATAGATGATTAGGATACACAAAGTAGAAATATTTTAAATATAGGAAATATCATGTATGTTGAATCTTAAATTTGTCTTTTGAAATACATGTCCTTAGAATTAGAGTTGAGAGGAGGGAAAAGAAAGCCGAGAGTCAAGAGTGGGTGAAAAGCTCCTTTATTAATGTTGTGACCACCCTCTATAGGGGTCTCAAAATGCAGTTACATAAAAAAAATGGAACAGTTATTATAACCACCCATATAATTGAATCGACTTGTCTGCCAAGTAAAAAATACATTTAAAATACAAGTGACACATTGTTTTGTCGATTAAATGATGTTTCAGGGATGATTGATTATGTCAGTTGATCGCGTGCAAAATCATTCCCTTCGAGGGATTCGATTGATTGATCATATGTATTCCTTTGATTTTGATGAGATGTCAGTTGGTCGATAGGTATATCGACCAGGTTCGTGTGGCTAGGCCGGTTGGTCAATCTGTTGTTCAGTCGGTCGACTGCTTAGCAAATATGGATCACACTGTTGGCTCAGAATTTCGATCGTTTGAAGGCTCCATCTTAGCCACTTGATCCCTTGAAGATGCATGTTTGATATTTTTACAATATACAATGTAATTAAATTTCTTCTAATTAGGTTTTATAAAATAGAAACGGTCATATAATTAGATTTTTTTAAAAATTGGGTCATCTAGTATTAGTCTTCCTAATACCTACATTTTCTAATTTATAATCATAAGAATTAGTGCTATTTATAATAATCTTTATCTCATCTTTCACTTTCACATAAGTAAGAGATGATAAAAAATGAGCTTTAGCACCCAACGATTGCACTAAAATGATTGCCTAGGTACACTCTCGAAGGAATCAAGTCTTGCAAGGTTTTTCAAAATACCCAAATGAACAATCAATGATGGGCTCGAATGTTCACAAAACTTCTACAGTATGTGAATTTTTGGACTAGTACTGTCTTTGTGAGTTCGTCTGTCCAATTCTTCTTCAATAGAATATCTTCGTCATCAATCAAGTTTCGAACAAAGTGGTTTCTCGCATCAATGCACTTATTACATGCATAATGAACTTGATTTGTGGTTAATGATATCATACTCTGATTATCATAAAACATCATTAGAGACTTCTGATTAACCCTCAAGTCATCAAGTAGCCCTGCATTCATATCACTTTCTTCATTTCCTCCGTAATTGACAGTACTCAGCTTTGCTAGTAGACAAAGCAACAATGAACTGAATAATTATCTCCAATGCATTGAACCTCCTACTAATATGATTAAATAGCAAGCAATAGACCCGTGTCTATCCCGTATTAGCTGCACAGTCTGAATCAGTATAGCTTGCACACAAATCAATAATAGATGACTGTCTTTTAAACACTTTAACTGCTTCATAATCCCTTTGATGAATCAGATAAATAAGAGTGCATTACTACATACAAATTAAAAATATTTCAAATAGGAAAATTCATATAATTAGATCTCTAATTAGGTTTCACAATTTAAAAAAGATCATGTAATTAGATTCTTTTCAAATTAGATTACCTAATATTAATCTTCATAATACACACTTCCTAATTTACAACAATTAAACTCAATACTTTCCGCAACATACATATATTCCAATGTGAGGTGTAGTAGAAATCTATTTTGGTGTAAAAAAACCAAGTCTTAATGCAATAAATACATAAAATAAATAAATAAATTCTTTGCATGTTGTTAAGGGGAAGAGTTTGTTTTATTGTTTGAGTGTATGCTTTAAATGTTAGTTTTGCTATGTAATCTTGAATTCATCAGCACCACAATGTTCATCTTGAAATGTTGGAGCAACTTGTCTCTCCTTTTTTTTTGTTTTTAATTTGCATATATTGATAGTTCTTATGTAAATATATATTTAACACTTAAAGTTTGATATTATATTTATAACATTTTTGTGACTTAATTTTTTTGTATGAAAATGATGTATTTCACTTTTAAGTAATATTGATTTTTTAATGTAATATTAAATAATTGAATGATTTGCAAATAAATATGAAAGTTTAAATGTTTGATGTATGAATGAATAAGAATTGTGTGATATATGTGTAATAAACTCGGAAATGATTCATCATTCAACTTCCGAAGAAACTAATTTTAGTATTTTTTTTCCTTGGCATATTTTAAAGAACTTGTACATCGCCTAATTAAAGCGAGTGGTGTATATGAGTGTCATGAAAATAATGAATGATCAATGTGTGCTCTCATATCTCGTGTTGAAAAAAAAATTTCTCTGTTGATGAGCATCGCTGAATGTTGGGCTTCCAAAAATTATAACGAGAGAAGGAAGGGGGAGGTAATGACTCGTTGAGTTGATTTGGAATAAGAATGTTGAGTAATTACTTGAAATTTATTTAATTTAAAATTAGATATTTTAACTATATATAATTCATTAGGTGTCCTGTGGGAAGCACTAACATGCATATAAATATAAGTCTTCATCATCATAGGATCACACACTTTTAGCTTCTTTGAGTCATCATTATTAAAAAAACATTCAAATTATTCAACTTTTTTCCCTATCATACATGACAAATTATCAAAAACATGAACAAACAATATGAATGCTTTATTATAATAGCGAGTGAACAAGATTATGTTTATTATTGAATGGATATAGTTTCACACTCTTTGAAAAGATGCTTGAGGTTTATGTAATAACATGCATCTAACAATTACTTCTAGTATTTATTTCAAATGAAAAAGATCAATAATCATATTCTTACTGTGCATCTTATTAGGTTTATCATAATTAAGCTGTACTAATCTTGAATGCTATATATCAATAATATCAAACTCAAGAATTCTTAAAGGGCATATTATTATTGTTATTATTATTATTATCATATTGTGCTTGATCGTGTGGTAAATTTGGAAAGAAAGGAAAGAGGCCAAATATTTAGTTGTTAAAATGAATCATTTGTGTATTATTTGGCACATTAATGTGATAGTTTTATTTTTACATAAAGTTAATTTGATTGGTTATAAAAAAATTAAAGATTGTAAGGAGTTGGCTAGATATTTTGATATTGAGATAGATGCTCAACTTTACAAATCTATAACTAATGTAGATTGGATTAAACTTGAGAGAGGTTGCGTGATAATTCATCCTGATGGCTCTATCTCGAAAGATTTCTTCGGACTTGGGGGTTTAATTAAAGATAACTTGAATAATCTATTTTTGGCCTTTGAGGGTCCTCTTGATCAATGCAATATTCTTTTTTGTTGAACTCTATGCTCTAAACTACAGTCTTTATGTGGCTGATGCATTGGGATTTGATATAAATTGATGATTGAATTAGATGTTGTTTTGGCAATCCATTTGATCAACTCTTTTAAAGGATCTGTCTCAAAGATATATCTATCATTCTTACTTCCTTTGAATTTAAACTTAATTATATCTTTAATATTAATGGAAATTTACTTGTTCTCATAGTATTAATATTGTTCTATTTCTAAATATTAGTAACTTGAATTCTCATTCTAAAAAAGTCTTGTTTTACATAGTAATAGCTTAGTTTTGGATTTCTTTTTCATATTTTCTTTTCATAGCTATATTATCCTGATTTGTATCCTCTTCAACTCTGAAAAGTGAGTTGGTTGATTTGACTTTTTGGAAGGTACTACTTATTTTTATGGTATTGGAATATCAACAATATAAATGTTGTATACTATTTTCTTATGCTTAATTGTCCATTACCTTTGATAACACTATTGTTCTTATTTATGCATTGTGCGGCTCAGATTTTATTTCAGTGAATGATGTTGTGCTGAAGATCAGCATGACAATGTTTCCTTCTATTCTGAATTGTTACTATGAACATATCAGGGTAAAATGCCACAATGTTTTTACCCTTTTTTTTTTAAATATTAAAATTTCTCATACTTGAATCCTTATTTTTCTCTTCTTAGTTCCCAATTTTCATATATTGTTAATTATTTCTGCAAATCATTTAAATTTTTGATAGCATCGATCCCATTTTTATAAAATTTACTTGAAACTAATATTAGATAAGACAAATGCAATTTCTCCAATTGTCTATCGTGTCG